CCTGTGTCATGCAATGCCTGTGGAGGACAGAAGAGGCTATCAGATCCCCTGAAACTGGAAGTTACAGACAGTTGTTAGCTGCCACGTGGGTGCTAGAATTCGAACCCGGATCTTTTGCAAGAACAGTCAGTGTTCTTAACCACTGAACCATCTCTCCAGCCCCAAATTAAAATGTTTTTAACCAGGTTAAAGAACTTTCAATATTTGATGAAATAGCCTAGAGAAAAATATGCACTTAAAACACAACAGAAAACATTTTTTCCTCAAACATATAAACAAGAAATAGTATGAAAAATACTGTTGAAAGTATTCTTGTAATGCAAATATATATAGATATATAGATATATATGTATATATATTGAGTTTTAAAGCTCTTATAGACGTGCACATAAAATGATTTAACTTATTTAATATGAGTGCTTCTTATTGGTATTACATTTAAGTGGAAAAAAAAAATCACTAGGAAAGCTTTCAGGCTTACTACTGAGATACTCAAATACTTCAACTGAAATGACCAGAATTAACTTTCATACTAGCAAAATCTAAAGCAGCAGTCTTGTTGAGTCCTTATATCACAAATAAACTGATAAAGAACAATGTAATCAAAAAATAACCTTGTAGGGAAAATTTTATTTCCAACAAAAATATCAAAGATATTAACATGGCACAAAAGGCAACACAGACTCAAGAAGCAAACAAACAAACATAACGAATACACGATAAACAGTTACTGTTCTAAAGAAATACTTTGGGAGTCAGTTATTATTTTAAATTCTCAATATGTCAGTTAACTCTAGACCTTAACATCAATATATAGGTAAAACATTTTACTTAAAGCATAAACCATATATATAAAGTACTTTCACATATTTATTTTTAGATAGATTTTAAAATCTTGACATATGCATTTCATGGGTGAAAAACTACAAGTAGCCACTGTGTCAATGAACTCTATTAAACATTTCATGAACTATTAAAAAATACGGACACAGCTTCTAGAATTTTCACAAAAGAATCTCTTTAAGAAAATATATTATGACTATCATTAAGTAAATATGGAAAAAAATAATATAGAGTTCTGATTTGAGACACTTTAAAAGTGTAGAACTTGAATGCAGCGTATCTTTCAACAGTTCTAACAATTTCAATGTATACATCTAGAAGAGTATTAACACAAATTTCAAATATTTAAACAAAGAAAAGAAAGACTGGAAACTCCAACAAAACTTTTATCCTAGAATTGAGCTCAACTAACAGTGAAGGGGGAAAAAAAAATCCCTGCAAACTAAATACCAACAGCTCACAATTCTTTAAAGGGCACTTTATCCTCTAACATGTGTTTGCTAAAGCCAGTATCTAGTATGACTTTTTTAAAAGGATGACAATGTATTAAACATCTGGTTAATGCTTCAACCTGCAATTGAAAGGCGACTGTAGTGTTCATTAGTGTCCAGAGTGCACAACACACATCAAGGGAACTGTTTTGGGGAGTTGTGCTTGGAGTTCATAGAAAGAATTTCACCCCAAAAGTGGACAGAGCTAACTGAAGCCCCTCTGCTAAGTGCCGAGCATATCTGTACACAAAACTTACCTCCAGACTTATGTGAGTAACTCAACAAGGGGTCAATGCCAACTTCCTGTTCTTCTGGTTGCAGAGGATGTCGAGTTTCAGACAAGGACTGAAACATTGTGAAAACTGGACACAGTTGCCGAAAGTAAAAACCTAGATGAAAATACAGAGAAAAAATATGGTAATTTTTGTTCTGCCATGACTAGGAACGAATACAAGACTGAAATGATGAGCTGAGCACCACAGACATTAACAAGTATTTTACAGACTCCAGGGTCTGTTACCTACACCTACCTATACAAAAGGATTAAAAAGGTGACAAAATGATTTACATTTAACCAATTCCAAAATTCTGAACTTCATTTATAACTTTTATTTTAATGTAGACTCACATTTGTTTTCAGTAAAATTGGCACAAAAAAGCTTAACGTTTTTAAAATATTCATATTTATAACATATTATTTATAACATAATTAGTTTTGCTGACAAAATAATACATATTAACAGGAACTTTCAAAACAAGAAAGTAAAGAAAATTAGCCTGTGGTGGTGCACGCCTTTAATCTCAGCAATTGGGAGGCAGACGCAGGCAGATCTCTGTGAGTTCAAGGCCAGCCTGGTCTACAAAGTGAGTTCCAGGACAGCTGGGACTACAGGGAGACCCTGCCTCAAAGAGACCAAAAAAAAAAAAAAACCAAAAAACAAAAGAATGTAAAGCAAAGTAAAATTACTCATAACTGTTAGAAATACCATTAATAATATTTCTGTGTGCATTAATATACTTCCTGTCTTTGTTGTGAACATTTAGATCCACCATGTGACCCATCATAGCAAACATACTAATCACATAAAATTAATATTAAATAATTATTAAACTATCATGAGCATTTTCCTTCTTAATACATGAAAAGTCCCCTAAATTACAATTCCTAAAAGATGCCTTGCACTGTATTATAGAGGTGCCATAATTTACGAAACCAATTCCTTATTAGTAAACAATTAGGATGCTTTCGTATGCTCACCCCATGGATAGCCTCAATAAGCATCTATGTGTCCTATCAATGAATATTTTCTTAAAACAAATTCCTACAAGTGAAGGTCCTGGCAAAACATACATTTTAAAAAAGGGGTTTGAAATGTTTTGGCATGATTTTTTGTATAATAAAACAATTCATTTTGCCTGTACCGTCATTAACCATGGCTACTTTTTTTAAGTCATTTGATAGTCTTATTTTATACTGTAGTGTGATAACTGCTGAGGTTACTATCAACTTCCTATGTGTCAACCAATCACAGACTAAAACATCAAAAAACAAGACAGAAATAAACTATTCCTTCATTAAGTTCATATTTTATCACATTAGTGGAAAGTTGCCTAATACCCTAAGTACTTTTATACTTTACATATCCATAAAGTAAAAATTACTTTTGCAAATCATAATTCTCCCTTCACCCCCAAAATCTGTATTCTACTTTTAAAATCTTATGTAAGTAGCAAAATTTCTTAATGTCAAGGGCGGAAGGACATGAAAGGAAAACTAAACTCGGAAAAAATATGTGAGACTTAGTAAGTTCAAAGAAAACTGTATGTAATTTTACAGGAACTTTAGTCTTTAATTATGGAGGCAGGTTTGAGAGATGTCCACAACCACACATATCCTCACTAACATTTCTGCAATTCAAACTGCTACTTTAAGAGAATCTGTTTTCTACAGGGATAGGTTATCCAATCCTAAGTGGTCAGCCCTAAACACATGTACATATGATCAACACTAAATGTATTCAGTAGCTCATATAGGTATATATACATACATAT